AAGAAAAATGTCTAAACGAAGGACATATGGTTAGAGAATTTTTTTAAAAAAAAAATTTTAATGCCAAAAATTTCCAAGAACTTTTTGAGCTTTTCTTATACTTCCTTTATAGAAAATTAATAAACTATTTCTTAAACAACATAGTTCAATAACTTTTATATTATTTTATATTTCCCCCAAATCAACTCTTTATGATATATCTTTCCACTTAAAGTTGATTTTGCTAATTTGACAAAATAAGTTTTTCATACAACTTTCCATTGTTGTTAGAAATATTTTGTTTTTAGTTACATATTTAAATAGAAACTAAAACTTAAAGTAGTTTAGAAAGGAAAAGTAGTTTAGAAAGTTTTATTTGAAAAAAAAAAAATATTTTTAAAATAAAACTAAAGGAGAACTAAATAAAAATTTCAAAATAACACCTGTGAAAAATTTAGTTTTTAGTAAAAATTTAATTTTAATACAAAGTTTAATTTTAAGCGAAAATTATTAATATTTAGTGCAAAAAGGCTTTTTAGAGAAAAATTTTTGTTTTTATTTTTTTTTTTTTGTGAAAATTTCAATTTTGATAAGAAATCAAATGAGAATGAAAATATAGACTTTTAGTCAAAATTTGAATTTTTAGAGCAAATTTTGGTTTTTAGTGCAAATTTTGATTTTAAATAAAAACTTGAATTTTAAGTGAAAATTAAGTGCTTTAATGAAAATTTAGAGTTTAAATACAAAATTGGATGTTTAGTGCAATATTAGTATCAAATGGTGTTTTAGTCTAAAATTCAAAGTTTAGTGACAATTTTAATTCTTCTTAAGTATTCGACTGTAGTCTACAATACGCGACTATAGTCTATAGAACTTGACTATAGTAGTAGAAAGTACTTTACTGCAGCCCAGAGTATTTGACGGTATTAGAGTGTAGTCACACTATTTACTTATTCGACTGTAGTCGATAGTACTCGACTGTAGTCGATAGTACTCGACTGTAGTCGATAGTACTCGACTGTAGTCGATAGTACTCGACTGTAGTCGATAGTACTCGACTGTAGTCGATAGTACTCGACTGCAATCGATAGTACTCGTCTGTAGTCCATAATACTTGATCGTAGTCGATAGTACTCGACTGTAGTCGATAGTACTCGACTGTAGTCGAAAGTACTCGACTGTAGTCGATAGTACTCGACTGTAGTCGATAGTATTCGACTGTAGTCGATAGTACTCGTCTGTAGTCAATAGTACTCGACTGTAGTCGATAGTACTCGATAGTACTCGTCTGTAGTAAATAGTACTCGACTGTAGTCGATAGTACTCGAATGTAGTCGAAAGTACTCGGCTGTAGTCGATAGTACTCGACTGTAGTCGATAGTACTCGTCTGTAGTCAATAGTACTCGACTGTAGTCGGTAGTACTCGACTGTAGTCAATAGTACTCGACTGTAGTCGATGATCCTTGACTGCAGTCGATAGTTGACTATACTCGACATGATAATCGACTATAGTTGAAGATACTCGACTTTAGTCGACTGTTGTGACTGTTACTGACTACTGTCGATATTACTTGACAGTCATTGACATTACGCTGTACTATAGTCGACAGAACTCGCCAATACTTAACTTTATTCAACTTTAAATATGAGCTTGTAGCTGACTATACTTGGCTGCGCAGAAATTGAGCTATTTCTAAGCAAATTTCTTTAACAATTACAAACTTTTTTTAAATTTAAACTAAAAGAGATTCGATTTTAGTACTTTTTATACTTCCCATCAGCATAAAGTATATTTATATAAGTTTATGTATTCAGAGTCGATTTGGCTATGTCGGTCTGTCTGTCTGTCTGTCTGTCTGTTTGTCTGTCTGTCTGTCTGCCAATCAAATTCACCGAAAATATATATTAGTGTCCCAAGTTTGGTATTAAAAATCAGCAAAATTGGTTAACAATGCTAAAAGTTATGAGTAAAAATTTCAGACTAGCTCGAAAAATTTACGTTTTTTCGTAGTTGAAAGCAGTTGAAAGCGTAGAAGAGCTGCAATAAAAACTTGATGATGAAGCTGCAGTAAAAACAATTACCATAGAAAATCCCATACAAAGTTTGGCCGCAACAGTGCAGTCAAGTATTTTAAATGAAAAACAAACCCCTAATACAACCACAAAAGGTTTTAACTCGAATGCAACCACTACAACAACTGTTGTTGCATCAACTTCAGTTATCGCTACCATTTCCAACAAACTAAAGGGTGCAGGAAATGAGAGGCCAGAGGAAGAAAACATTGTTGTTAAACCTACAGTTTTCTCAGAAACTATAGAAGATATTGTCACAAGTAATTGTTTTTTTATCCTAGGATCAATTATGTTCAAAATCATATCAATCGATCCAAAATTTCCCATAGCCCCATACAAAGGAAGTAGATTTACCATTAATAACTTCATTTAAAACAAAATTTTGCAAATATGTATATAATATGAATAGAAATCATATTAACAACATAAATCTTTATAGGTCTATAATTGGACATAGCTCTCATATAAGGCTCAATTCCGAAAATCACTTAAATGTACATAAAAAAGTTAAGAGATATAGATATCGCAACAAAATTCGGAGTAAATTCCATAATTGGTCATAGTTTCCATATAAGTCATACTTCCGATAACCAAGACAAATGCACATATTTCATTACCAAATTAAGATATCGGCATAAAAGTCGACATAAATGTGCTTAAAGAACAAGTGTAACAACCTACATATCGATCCATAACACCGCTACGGACACCACTACATGATAAAATACCAAAAAAAGGCCCGTAACTCCTAGTTTTGCACTTTTTTATGATTTGGGGCTTCAGTGTCATTTTAGCAAAAAAAAAAAAAAAAAAAACAAAATTATCATTTTCTCAATTGCACTACTTTTATTAACTACACCTGTACGTATACGTGTTAATAATTTATTGATATTACAAATATTAAGTATACGTAAAAAAAACTTAATTTTGATCTTGAAGATGAAGATTTTTTGAACTACAACTACAACTCAGACAGTAAATCAAAATTCTTAACGGTTTATGAGCCTGAGAAAATTATCACTTTTTGGCAAAAATTACACAGAGTCCCCAAATCTTTGAGGTTCAATGAAAAAAAGTGCATGACTTTGGGCAAAACTAGAAGACACAAGTATTTTATCACGTAGTGGTGTCCTGGTCATATCTCTCATATAAGGTCCACTTCGGAAAATTACTTAAACGCACATATTTCTTTAACACATATAGACTTCATTAGACTAATCAAGATATATAGAGTAGTTTTTCAAAAGGCTGTTAATACTTAGTTATAACTAATTACCTATTGAAATTAAAAGTCATTACCAAGTTTTTGCTGAGAAGTTATTATAAAAGTTAACTATTTAATTAATTTGAATTTAATTCCAGAAAATCCTAGCACTTATACAAACTATACATTTTAATTCACAACACATCCATATCAAAATAATATCGAAAAAAATCTTAGCAAAAACATGATATTACCTTTTTTTAAGCAAAAAATAGAAACTAAATTGAAATAAACAGTAGAACAAATTTGATTTTCTTTCATTTTTCTTGTAGAATAAAACAAAAAACTATAAACGTTTTTAATATGTATGCCTGTGTATAGGTAACTGAAACATTGCATAGAATCTCAAAGGATTTGTAAACGGAACATAAACGAATTGCAAACTCAAAGAACTAGAACGAAACAGAAAAAAACAAACAGCTCAGATGTTGCATTAGGTGAACGAGCATGAATTTAGTTATGTTTGTACATGCCCAAGAGTTTTAGGAGGCGCTTTTTCCAAATTATTTGGTAAGATTAAAAACACGCACATTATAAATCTACATATATTTTGGTACAGTCATCCCCATACTGCAGGGTAGCTATGTTAGTATCCATATGCATGTTGCGTTACATGATTGCGAATGTATCTGTTAATGTTTGTACGTGAATTGAAAAATATGAGTATATTAAATGTATCTATGTACATGACTTTGTCATAATACATAATAAGTTTGTGAGTGTTAGTTTTCGGTTGTATGAGGATTTTATGTAGTAAAACCTTTAGCTATTCAGTTCATCCAACCAAGTATATTTGTTGCTTTTTTTTGCTACTAGATATTCATACGTTTTATGAGAAACAAAAACTATAACATTGCAACTCAACATTCGAATACTCAAGGTAGTAAGTATAGTACATGTTGCAATAGATTACAACACCAGCACACACATACATAGATATGTGCATACACCTACATGGTGTTAGTTTTTTTTTTTTTTTTCTTAGGGTGATACTAACTTGAGGGTTTGGTTTTCTTAGCACAATCAGTTTCTTGTAACTAAAATTATTTTCTTCATATCAGCAAATTTTTATTCTTAGTTTATATCCACACAAACATTAATTCCACCACTAAATTAATTTACTTCTTTAATTTCAAACCAAACGAAGTTCCTTTCCTTATTTCTAAACAGCATCCTATTATTTTTGTCTTCTTTGTAAAAAAAATGAGATAAATTACTTTTACAACTTCCCGTACATCCACTTAAGGTGGTATACTTCTTCCTTTTTCTCTACTATTATTGTCCTTATTACACGAAGGAATTGATTACTCACAAGATGAAACTATATGCTTGCACAAGAAAATGTTGCAAAAAAATATATTGTGATTGTAATAGATTTGTTTAAAATGTTGCATATAGATTGGTGTGCATTTCATTTAAAGAGAGAGTGCAACAGTTATTAAATTTTAAAAAAATATCTTCCATTTTAAATTTTCAATTCAAATTTAATCAAATAAAATGAAAAAAATTAGCAAGTAATTGAAGAGTAAGAGTAAAAAAATTTAGATCCTATTTCAGTTGAATCATTGAATTACATTCTTGATCAGTTCCGATAATATTTGTTTCATAGATAAGTCAGTAGAGTAGTTAATAGACCATATAGCAAACTAAACTGTAGACTAGTTTATCAACCATTCAATAGACATGTTAACAGATAAATCACAAGGTAAGTTAAAAGACTAAACCCTAGACTGATTACTAGACCAGCCAATAGGCGAGTCAATAGACTAGTTAATAAACTAGTCAGTAGTCTGGACTATAGGTTATATATAGGCTGGATTATAGAATGTCTATAGTCTGGACTGTAGATTGTCTATAGTCTGGACTGTAAGTCGTCTATAGTCTGGACAATAGATTGTCTATAGTCTGGACTATAGATTGTCTATAGTCTGCGCTGTAGATACAACATAGGCTGAACTACCAGGTTAGTTAATAGACTAAACACTAGACTAGTTACTAGACCAGCCAATAGGCGAGTCAATAGACTAGTTAATAAACTAGTCAGTAGTCTGGACTATAGGTTATATATAAGCTGGACTATAGATTGCCTATAATCAGTACTATGGATTGTCTATAGTCTGGACTATAGACTCTCCATAGACTGGACTATAGTCTAAACTATAGATTTTCTATAGTCTCCAGACCATATAGATTGTCTATAGTCTGGACTGTAGGTTGTCTGGACTATAGATTGTCTATAGTCTGGACTAAAGATTGCCTATAGTCTGGACTATAGATTCTCCATAGACTGGACTATAGTCTAAACTATAAATTTTCTATAGTCTGGACTATAGACTCTCCATAGATTGGACTATAGATTCTCTATAGTCTGGACTATAGATTTTCTATAGTCTGGACTTTAGATTTTCTGTAGTCTGGACTATGAATTTTCTATAGTCTGGACTATAGATTCTCTGTAGTCTGGACTATAGATTCTCTATAGTCTGGACTATAGATTCTCTATAGTCTGGACTATAGATTCTCTATAGTCTGGACTATAGATTCTCTATAGTCTGGACTATAGATTCTCTATAGTCTGGACTATAGATTCTCTATAGTCTGGACTATAAATTCTCTATAGTCTGGACTATAAATTCTCTATAGTCTGGACTATAGATTCTCTATAGTCTGGACTATAGATTCTCTATAGTCTGGACTATAAATTCTCTATAGTCTGGACTATAAATTCTCTATAGTCTGGACTATAAATTCTCTATAGTCTGGACTATAGATTCTCTATAGTCTGGACTATAGAATCCCTATAGTCTGGACCATAGATTCTCAATAGTCTGGACTATAGATTGTCTATAGTCTGGATTTTGTGTAGTCTGGACTATGGATTGTCTATGGATTGTCTATGGATTGTCTATAGTCTGAACTAAAGATTGTCTGTAACCTGAACTACTGATTGTCTATAGTCAGCACTATAAATAGTCTATAGCCAGAACTCTAAATTGTCTATAGTCAGGACTATAGATAGTCTATAGCCAGAACTCTAAATTGTCTACAGTCAATACTATAGATTGTCTATAGTCTGGGCTATAGATTGTCTATAGTCTAGGCTATAGATTGTCTATAGTCTGGGCTATAGATTGTCTATAGTCTGGGCTATAGATTGTCTATAATCTGAACTATAGATTGTCTATAATCTGGTCTATAGATTGTCTATAGTCAGAACTATAGATTGTGTGTAATGTAGACTATAGATTGTATATAGTCTTGACTATAGATTGTCTATAGTCTGGACTATAGATTGTCTTTACTCTTCACTATAAATTAACTATAGTCTGGACTAGGTTGTGGTCTATAATCTGGTCCACAGTTTGTATATAGTCTGGACAAAAGATTATTTATAGTCTGGAATGTAGACTGTCTAAAGTCTGGACGATTATTATCTGCACTATACAATGTCTTATGTCTGAATTATATATATCGTCTATATTCTTTAATATATGTATTTTGTTGTTGTTATTGGTTGTTTAATTTTTAACTTTTTTATTCACTCTTTAAATACAAACAAATGTATTTACTTTATTTCTGTTGCCTACTTTCAGATGTCTTAAAGTGTTACCTACTTTATGTCTGACACAAATAAATATACATTCAAACACTTCAAATTTTAGTTTATATTTATTTAAAATATTCTTGAGACTTGTCATATTTTCTTGTTTAAATATTTGATTATATTGTCTTAAATGTGAATTTTTAGCAAACAATATTATTACAATTTTCATGTTATTGTTGCTTTCCCATTATAGTTTTTTTTTTCTCATTTTTATTATATTTTATTAAATTATATTTTCGTTGTATATTTTCAAGGCCTAAGGCTCAATAATAATAATAACTACATTAGTCCTTTTCAACTTTTATTTCGTTTTTTATTTCCACTCCTCTTAGCAAAAAAATACAGCAAAGTTTCAATCTCTATTTTCATGTCAAATTGTCTCTAAGGATCTTAGTAAAATATTTTCATAGTTGAAGTATGGCAACATGCACAAACATGTTCGGTTTCATGTTTAACACACATACACATAAGTAAACAACTGCTGTGATTGTGTTTTTGTGATTTAAACCTTATAAATAAAAATAATTTATATTTTATTTTATTTAATTTAATTTTCGTTTTATTTATTTGCACAATTTTATCTAACTGTATTATTTTGTCATATCGATATCAAATTCGAAATAAATGTTTTATTTAATAATGTTTGTAGTAATCCCAGCTGTTTTAATGGAGGCAGTTGTATCACTTTTTGACAGTATATTTGCTATCTAATGAATATTATATTTGTGATACAGTGTAGAACCAATAGATTCCATATAATCAATAATATGTTGATACTTTATTGACTCTAGGTAATCTACGGTGCAGTTAAAACATTTCCAAAAAACAAATGTATTTTAACTTCTAGTGTAATTGTTGATGAAACTTTAAAGATAACTTCATTATTATCAAATTAATTTTAATTTCAACTTAATGTTTGCTGGGTAAACAGAAAATTTCATCGTTCTTATGCATTTTATATGTTTAAGTGTTTGTTGTTAGGCCTCTAGTTACAATAAATCAATAATTTCCTAAAGTTCTAGATTATTTTTGTTTCCAGGAAATATTAAATAAATTATATTTATTGGCAAAAGTAAGGATTATTAAATAAATAACCATAGATTTTAAATAACGTAAATTTTTCATAGAATTTTTATTCTATTGTAGCTATTAAATGATGAAAATGTAATAGATACAAAAAAATATTTTCTAAAATTTTAATTTAATTTAAATTATGGTAAATTGATTTAATATGGGGTTAATTTTATTCGAAAATAATTTACTGTTACCATGTATTTATACCCTACACCACTATAGAGGCATTATGGTTTTGTGCTGATATATGTTTTTAGCTATATACGTCTGTTCGTCTGCCTATCTGTCAGTCATTCCGTCCTTCTCTCTATCTGTCCGTCAGTCTGTCTGCATGTCTGTCTGTCTGCATGTCTGTCTGTCTGTCTGTCTGTCTGTCTGTCTGTCTGTCTGTCTGTCTGCATGTCTGTCTGTCTTTCAATCTATTACTCTTACCACGTTGTTATACCCTACACCACTGTAGAGGCATTGTGGATTTGTGCTGTTATATGTTTTTAGCTATATATGTACGTCTGTTCGTCTGTCAGTTAGTCAGTCTTTCCTTCCTTCTCTCTTTCTGTCCGTCAGTCTGTCTGCATATCAGTCTATCTGTGGGTTTGTCTGTGTTTATATATGTGTGTCTGTATGTCTATCTGTCTGTCTGTCTGTCTGTCTGTCTGTCTGTCTGTCTCTTTGTCTCTCTATCTGACTGTTTTTCGGTCTATCTATCCATTACTCTTACCATATATATATACCCTACACCACTATAGAAGTGTGTCTATCTGTCTGTCTTTCTGTATATCTATCTATTACTCTTACGGACTAACAGTCAGTGAGTCCGTCCATCTCTCTCTCTATCTGCCTGTCTGACTGTCTCTCTATCTTTCTGCCTATCTATCTATTACTCTTACAATGTTGTTATGTATATCTATCTATTACTCTTACGGACTAACAGTCAGTCAGTCCGTCCATCTCTCTCTCTATCTGTCGGTCTGACTCTTTCTCTATCTTTCTGCCTATCTATCTATTACTCTTACAATGTTGTTATACCCTACACCACTATAAGGGCATTATGGATTTGTGCTGATATATGTTCGCCTGTCTGTCTATCAGTCAGTCAGTCAGTCACTCCGTTCGTCTCTATATCTGACCATCAATCTATCTGCATGTCTGTCTGTCTGTGGGTTTGTCTGTGTTATATTGTTATACCCTACACCACTATAGAGGTATTGTGGATTTCTGCTATTATATGCTTTTAGCTATATACATCTGTTCGTTTGACTGTCTGTCCGTCAGTGACTCCGTCCGTCTCCCTATCTGTTCGTTAGTCTGTCTGCTCTAACGGACTGTCAGTCAGGCCGTCCATTTCTCTCTCTATCTGTCCATCAATCCTTCTATGTGTCCATAAGTGTGTCTGTTTTTTTCTGTCTATCTGTCTGTCCATGTAATCCTTGTAATCAAACTATAAGTTTTTCAAAAAAAAAAAAAAACTATTGAAAAATGGTTGAAATCGGTCCATTATTTCACCTAGTGTTACTTTCACGGTAAGTAAAGTTTTTGTTGGATAGATGACACATTATACAACATAAATTATACATTAACTTCTTCTCCTTTTGCTTGTCATCTTTCCAAATTCAAATAAAATTGTATACATGGCCAGTTTGTGCCATCTCAATATCCTCATATCAGGAAACACGATTTGTATTGTAAATTTTCCATTATACATATTATTCTTGTCATAATAAAAAGTTTAACATAAATTATTTCCTTTAACATTCATCTTTCTTCTACTTCAAGGTTATAATTTATTTTCTAACCTAAAACCAAAAAAATTTAACAAATGTCATACTTAAAAGAAATCCTTAAAATCCTACAAATAGTTATCGCCTTAAATGCTAAACATCAACTAGTAGTGTGGTAAAAATGGAAAATAAAGCTTAATGGCTTGTCCAGCTAACACATTATGGTCATCATGGACACATTAAAGACACAACCATATGTGACCATAAAACACTTAAACGCAAAGAAAGATAGACAAGGCAGGAAGAGAAGAAAAAAAACCATTAAACATATTGACACTAATATTAGGAAACACATTCAAATATACAAACATTTCCACAAAACTTATTAATAATACATTTTAGATTTGAAAATTCTAAATAAAATAGCTTTTCCACAATTCTAACTTAAGTATGTTTAGGTCTTTTCAAATGTCAACTTATTTAGTATTTATATATATTTTTGATTGACAGCTGGTAATAAAATGAAAATTATTAATATTAAAAAAAAGAAATCCTTTATCAAAATGTACATACATATACAGAATATAACCTTGTCAGTCATAAGAGACAAGAATTGTTGACTTTATTTTTTAACAGGAAAGAATCCAGCCTTTTGATTATTAATTTCCTTTGAGAAATTGTTTTAAGTATTTCTTATTATTTTAATGTGAGTATATTAAAAACAGTGAAGTAGAAGTAAAATATGGAGAAAAAAAAAGGTTTCAATTAATAAAACTTTTACACCTTAGGGGTTTTTACGTTATAAAATGAGAAAAAGTCGTAAAGTTGAAGTTAAACACATTTTTATTTTCAATTTTATTGAAATTTGTTTGGCTACTGTCTGTCTGTATGGTGTCTAGCCGAAATAATGGACCGATTTAAACCATTTTTTTGAGTCGAAAGACAGATAGATAGACAGAAAGACGGACAGACAGACAGACAGACAGACAGACAGACAGACAGACAGACAGACAGACAGACAGACAGACAGACAGATAAACAGACAGATATATCGACAGACAGATAAACAGAATGATAGACAGACAGAAAGACAGATAGATAGACAGATAGACAGACAGACATATAGACATACAGATAGGCATACAGACAGACAGATAGACATAGCTTAATCGACTCAGAAAGTGATTCTGAGCCGATTGGTATTCTTTAATGTGGGCGTAGGACCAATATTCATATATGGACAGACAGACAGAAAGACAGATAAACAGACAGATATATCGACAGACAGATAAACAGAATGATAGATAGACAGATAGACAGACAGACAGACAGATAGACATGCAGATAGACATAGCTTAATCGACTTAGAAAGTGATACTGAGCCGATTGGTATTCTTTAAGGTGAGCGAAGGACCAATATTCATATATGGAATGGTTATTGCTCTCATTTGGGACTTGTCGATCTTTCAACTGACAAATGGACATGACTAGATCATATCAGTATCTAATAAGTACCCCAAAGATATCACAATTCAAATGACAAATTACATTTTTCTTATTTATAAAATTTTGTTTTGAAAAGTTATTAAGTTTGAGCCTCTTCAACTGTTTGACCTTTAAGAGGATTATTTCCAACACTTTGGTTTATATTTAGAGACATATGTATATACATATATGAACATATGTACATACACATACACATCTACTTAATTCTTCATTAAAACTGAATGAAAGGTATATGTATTCTCAATACAAAGAAAAACAATTTATTACAATTGTAGCGCCTCTGCTATTAAAAACTTATACTTAATATTACTTAGTAAATAAGCTGATTAAAACCTATGTATGTATATGTATAGTAAAATTACACACCTTGTGTTAAATAGGTAATATAATATTATAATCAAAGATACCATTTTGAGAAGGCGTTTTTAACATTAGGTTAGTGTCAGTTATAAACTTAGGTTGGAACTAGGAAAATAGGTTGTCGGAAAAAGGATAAAGGGAGAAGTGTTTGAATACTTATACCGACCGGAAGACAACGGTTTTCATCGGTTGACATGAAATCCCCCTAATATAACACAAGAAACACAAGTCCCCAACACTTGTTAATGTCTTGTCAATCTTTTCACACCTCAAAAGATTAAGCAACAAGTTCTTTTGCAATATACTTCTTCATAAAAGAAAAGTGAAACTTGAAAAAATATTTAACAAATAAAGATTGTGATAGAAATATTAATTTATCTTTTTTTCTCGTTCCAGCATGAGCCTCTACGAATCCCTGCCACCTCAGTCCGGTTGATCAAAACTCTTTGCTTGGCTATATTTTGATATATATTTCAAATATACTTGCAACTTATTTTTTCGCCTATTCTTCCTTATCAGTTGACACTTTAAACTCTTAGTTTATGTTTAATATTGTGTCACAATTTCGTATACTTAAACATCGTTTGCATCGTGCTGGTGGTGAAAACAATGGCAATTGTTCTATGAATACAATCATCGGTTGTATTGGTTTTCATTGTCGTGCTCTAGAATTGAACCAAGAATTTAATGATGCATTTTGTTCAGTGATTTTTATTAAATTCCTCATCAGTTGTATGCAAATTTGCTGTTTGGCTTTTCTATTAAGTCGTCATAGTGTTAAGTTATTCGAAAAAGTGCTTCCTGGATTATTTTTGCTACCGGTATCGTTGCAATGATACAGATGATACAGGATGAGGTAAAATGAAACATAGATCATTTAGATGCTTTTCATGAGTATTTATTAAATATTTATTGTATTTTTCAATTATGTAGAGCAATTATGTTTAAAGTATGGTACTCTGGGTGCTTTACTACCCTAATTAAAATTTAAATTAAATATAAATATATTAAAAAGCAAAAAACTATTTAAATTTTTGAGTATCTAACTGAACTAGAACTGAACTAGAACTGAACTAGAACTGACCTAGAACTGAACTAGAACTGAACTAGAACTGAACTAGAACTGAACTAGAACTGAACTAGAACTGAACTAGAACTGAACTAGAACCGAACTAGAACTGAACTAGAACTGAACTAGAACTGAACTAGAACTGAACTAGAACTGAACTAGAACTGAACTAGAACTGAACTAGAACTGAACTAGAACTGAACTAGAACTGAACTAGAACTGAACTAGAACTGAACTAGAACTGAACTAGAACTGAACTAGAACTGAACTAGAACTGAACTAGAACTGAACTAGAACTGAACTAGAACTGAACTGGAACTGAACTAGAACTGAACTAGAACTGAACTAGAACTGAACTAGAACTGAACTAGAACTGAACTAGAACTGAACTAGAACTGAACTAGAACTGAACTAGAACTGAACTAGAACTGAACTAGAACTGAACTAGAACTGAACTAGAACTGAACTAGAACTGAACTAGAACTGAACTAGAACTGAACTAGAACTGAACTAGAACTGAACTAGAACTGAACTAGAACTGAACTAGAACTGAACTAGAACTGAACTAGAACTGAACTACTGAACTAGAACTGAACTAGAACTGAACTAGAACTGAACTAGAACTGAACTAGAACTGAACTAGAACTGAACTAGAACTGAACTAGAACTGAACTAGAAACTGAACTAGAACTGAACTAGAACTGAACTAGAACTGAACTAGAACTGAACTAGAACTGAACTAGAACTGAACTAGAACTGAACTAGAACTGAACTAGAACTGAACTAGAACTGACTAGAACTGAACTAGAACTGAACTAGAACTGACTGAACTGAACTAGAACTGAACTAGAACTGCGAGAACTGAACTAGAACTGAAGAACTGAACTAGAACTGAACTAGAACTGAACTAGAACTGAACTAGAACTGAATTATAACTCAACTAGAACTGAACTAAAACTGAACCATTTAACATTAATTATGGAAATCTTCAACACCTCACATTATTCAAACAATTAAAATTAACAAATACTTTATATCCCTGTATGTATTTATACGATGAGTGATTGCAAATACATGTAAATATATAAGAACATATGTATTTATAAATTCTTGAGTATTTAAAACCAATGTAACAGAAGTCCCTGACAGTTGGTAATGTATCGTTGATCACTTAACACCTTGACAGATTAACAAAAAGTTCTATTGAAATATATGTTTTTAATAAAAGTGAAGTAAAATAGATATTTATAATTAACAAAATATGTATAATAAACAATTTATCTTCAGCATGAGTTTTAAGGATTTCTTGCCCCCACAGCCTGGTATAAGACGTTACTTTCATGTACAAAGAAAATGTTTTGCCCGACTTGGTTTAAATGTCACCTCTTTGGATTGCACATTATTTAGTTATGTTAAGGTTTGGTTACTTATAATAATACTTTTGTCGTTTTATGCTCCAGTTCTTCATTATACCATTCAAAATGCTCATGATTTGGACGAAGCTATGATATCGTTGTCGCCACTTTGGTTATCCCTGATAGTACATTTTAAGGTCTTGTACTTTATGTGGAATAGAAAGAAGTTTGTATTGTTTATACGAAAATTGTGGTTCTTGAATTTAGAAGGTGAGTTATTCGAGGTGTTAAATATGTTATATATTATTTGTTTTTGTCTAGCTAAGGGTAAGGAACACTCCATATTAGCAGCAGAAAATCACAAAGACATAATATTTTCGACTTATTATTATGTGACAGTTAATACAACAGGTCTGTTTTTATTATCGGTTCCATTTTTGAGATCCGGAATCTATGCTTGGCAAGGCGAAAATTATTGGAATAATTTAGAAACACCAGTAAAAGCCATGTATGTATATGGATCAACACTTATAAACACGTTAACAGAATTTGTATCGTTTTTCTGATAGCTATGCCATTGACCCTTTCGAATCAATACTCAGCTATATTCTAATATATATTTCAAATATATTAGTAACTTATTTTGTGGTGTACGCTTCCTTATCTATAGACACCTTATACTCATGGTTTCTGTTTAATATTGTATCACAATTTCGTATACTTAAACATCGTTTGCATCTGGCTGGTGCTGAAAACAATGGAAATTGTTCTACGAAAACTATCGCCGAATGTATTGGTTTTCATTGTCGTACTCTAGAATTGGCCCATGAATTAAATGATAGATTTTGTGCAGTGATATTTATTAAATTCGTAATCAGTTGTATGCAAATTTGCTGTTTGGCTTTCGTATTAAGTCGTGATAGTGCTAAATTATTCGACAGAATATTTGCTTTTTTATTTTTGTTATCGGTATCGCTGCAATTGATTATATATTGTTATGGCGGTCAAATGATACAGGATGAGGTAAAATGTTTGATCTACAATTGCTAAACTGCTTTTTTCATATTAAATATATATCTCTATTTCTTTATAAAAACTAGAGTACCTCCATTGCCTATAATATTTATCAAAGTTTCCAGTGGCAATCATTATCGTTGGCCAATAGAAAAAATTTAATTTTTTCTATGATGCGAGCCCAGAAGCCCTGTCATATTTCTGGCATATTTTTTACAGCAAATTTAAATTTGTTTCTATGGGTAGGTATTGAACTGACTTTAATTATAATCCTACTAACATTTTAATTTTAGGTTAATCGTACTGCTGGTTCTTTGATTGCATTATTCAAGACTTTGGAAGAATAGAGGTTGCAACCAAAAATAGAGAACAAATGTTAATATTAAAACTAGTGCGCCCGCGATGCTTCTAAGCTAAATTTAATAAAAAATAAATATTACAATAATATGAAAGAATAAAATATCAAAAAAGTTTTATCTCACACTAAAACCTCGGTATGGTACTGAACTAAAAGCTATCTAGAAGTGAACTAAAACTGAACTAGAACTGAACTAGAACTGAACTAGAACTGAACTAGAACTGAACTAGAACTGAACTAGAACTGAACTAGAACTGAACTAGAACTGAACTAGAACTGAACTAGAACTGAACTAGAACTGAACTAGAACTGAACTAGAACTGAACTAGAACTGAACTAGAACTGAACTAGAACTGAACTAGAACTGAACTAGAACTGAACTAGAACTGAACTAGAACTGAACTAGAACTGAACTAGAACTGAACTAGAACTGAACTAGAACTGAACTAGAACTGAACTAGAACTGAACTAGAACTGAACTAGAACTGAACTAGAACTGAACTAGAACTGAACTAGAACTGAACTAGAACTGAACTAGAACTGAACTAGAACAGAACTGAACTAGAACTGAACTAGAACTGAACTAGAACTGAACTAGAACTGAACTAGAACTGAACTAGAACTGAACTAGAACTGAACTAGAACTGAACTAGAACTGAACTAGAACTGAACTAGAACTGAACTAGAACTGAACTAGAACTGAACTAGAACTGAACTAGAACTGAACTAGAACTGAACTAGAACTGAACTAGAACTGAACTAGAACTGAACTAGAACTGAACTAGAACTGAACTAGAACTGAACTAGAACTGAACTAGAACTGAACTAGAACTGAACTAGAACTGAACTAGAACTGAACTAGAACTGAACTAGAACTGAACTAGAACTGAACTAGAACTGAACTAGAACTGAACTAGAACTGAACTAGACTGAACTAGAACTGAACTAGAACTGAACTAGAACTGAACTAGAACTGAACTAGAACTGAACTAGAACTGAACTAGAACTGAACTAGAACTGAACTAGAACTGAACTAGAACTGAACTAGAACTGAACTAGAACTGAACTAGAACTGAACTAGAACTGAACTAGAACTGAACTAGAACTGAACTAGAACTGAACTAGAACTGAACTAGAACTGAACTAGAACTGAACTAGAACTGAACTAGAACTGAACTAGAACTGAACTAGAACTGAACTAGAACTGAACTAGAACTGAACTAGAACTGAACTAGAACTGAACTAGAACTGAACTAGAACTGAACTAGAACTGAACTAGAACTGAACTAGAACTGAACTAGAACTGAACTAGAACTGAACTAGAACTGAACTAGAACTGAACTAGAACTGAACTAGAACTGAACTAGAACTGAACTAGAACTGAACTAGAACTGAACTAGAACTGAACTAGAACTGAACTAGAACTGAACTAGAACTGAACTAGAACTGAACTAGAACTGAACTAGAACTGAACTAGAACTGAACTAGAACTGAACTAGAACTGAACTAGAACTGAACTAGAACTGAACTAGAACTGAACTAGAACTGAACTAGAACTGAACTAGAACTGAACTAGGAACTGAACTAGAACTGAACTAGAACTGAACTAGAACGAACTAGAACTGAACTAGAACTGAACTAGAACGAACTAGAACTGAACTAGAACTGAACTAGAACTGAACTAGAACTGAACTAGAACTGAACTAGAACTGAACTAGAACTGAACTAACTAGAACTGAACTAGAACTGAACTAGAACTGAACTAGAACTGAACTAGAACTGAACTAGAACTGAACTAGAACGGAACTAGAACTGAACTAGAACTGAACTAGAACTGAACTAGAACTGAACTAGAACTGAACTAGAACTGAACTAGAACTGAACTAGAACTGAACTAGAACTGAACTAGAACTGAACTAGAACTGAACTAGAACTGAACTAGAAACTGAACTAGAAACTGAACTAGAACTGAACTAGATCTGAACTAGAACTGAACTAGAACTGAACTAGACTGAACTAGAACTGAACTAGAACTGAACTAGAACTGAACTAGAACTGAACTAGAACTGAACTAGAACTGAACTAGAACTGAACTAGAACTGAACTAGAACTGAACTAGAACTGAACTAGAACTGAACTAGAACTCACATTGTAATGACGTCATCTTATTTTGTGTTAATTTTGATTAATGTTCGCGCATGATATTATATTTTGCAAATTGTGCCACAATTTTTATTGATTAAGCGATGTTTGTATGTTCGCAATCAAGTAAAACACTTTGAGTTATAAACAGATGCAAATGTGCTAATTAAAACCTTTACAGTAATAGGTAATATAATATTATAATTAGAAAGAACTCTTCGCAATGGTATATTTTATGTCAAGGTGGGCCCGAGTATAATTGAAAGCATTTCCTTTAGTTTTTACACTTAATTACAGTTTTACTGCTATTATTTGAAAATATTTCAAAGTGCAAGGGTACGAACATATTAAAAATAAAGCCTTTGGTATTTACAATCATTTCAGGAAAAATAAATCCCTGACAGTTGTTAATGTACTGTTAATCCCTTAACATATTGCAAGAAATTTAGCAACAACTTCTTCAATATAATTAAGAGAAGAAAGTAAGTAGAAAGCTTATAATGGAAATAAAACATTTATTTCCTTGTTATTGCAGCATGTACCACAATCAATATTTGCCAATACAGCCCGGTATCAGACGTTACTTTCATATACAACGCCTAGGTTTTGCAGCGCTTGGTCTGAATATCACCTCTATAGATCATACATTGCATAATTACTTTCATGTTTGGTTACCCGTTTTTATACTTCTAGCTCTTTATATTCCTGTTTTATCGTATGTCATTGAAAATGCTTATGATTTGAACAAACTTATAACTGCCTTGACACCATTTTGGCAGTCGATTATTGCACATTTTAAAATTTTATACATTTTATGGAATAGAAAGAATGTAGTAACGCTAATAAGAAAATTATGGTTATTTAATTTAGAAGGTGAGCTAAGTATTTTTAATATTGGTCAAAATAAACGTACTTATACATTTTTCTAGCCAAAAATGAAGAACATGCTATAGTGGTGGCCGAAAATCGTAAGGATATAATTTTTAGTACTTTTTATAATGCGGTTGCACTTGTAACGGGTAGCTGTAATATATTGGCTCCCTTATTTGTAGCTGCTTACTATGCTCTGCAAGGCGAAAGTTTTTGGGAATATTTAGACGAACCCTCCAAAGGAAAGTATGTAAAAACATTTTCGATTTAACTTTAGAAACCCTTAATCTAGTTTCTTTTTCACACAGTTATATTATTCACAAAAAATCTATATTCTGTTATATTTGTGTTTACATTTGGAATATGATTGGAACATATTATGTCGTCTTTGCTTGTATAGCAGCCGAAACCTTATTCTCTTGGTTTATGTTTAATATTGTTTCACAATTTCATATACTTAAGCATCGTTTACATCAGGCAGGTGTTGAAAATAACGGCAATTGTTCTACGAAAACTATTACCGATTGTATTGCTTTCCATTGTCGTGTCATAGCATTGGCCAATGAATTTAATAAAGCATATGGCGCAGTGATATTTGTAAAATTCGTTGTAAGTTGCTTGCAAATATGTTGTTTGGCTTTTCTATTAAGTCGTAGAGATACTGAACTAGTCGAAAAAGTTTATCTCTTTTTATTTTTACTAACGGTATCGGTTCAATTGATGATGTATTGCTATGGCGGTCAGATGATACAGGATGAGGTAAGATGTGGCTATATGTATGTTCCTAATTATTTTGATTGTTTTTTCCATAATATAGAGCAGCTCTATTGCTGATATCATTTATGAAAGTTTCCACTGGGAAACATTATCGTTGACCAATAGAAAAATGTTAATTTTTTCCATGATGCGTTCTCAGAAGCCCTGTTATGTTTCTGGCATATTTTTTACAGCCAATTTAAATTTGTATTTGTGGGTAAGTACAATATTTGTATTAAAATTTAAATAAAAAAAAAAACTTATTTTTATTCAAGGTTTATCGTACCGCAGCTTCATTTATTACATTACTCAAGACTATGGAAGAAGATAGGTTGCAGTAAAAATTATATATTCAGATATAAGAGATCAAAGAAAATCTTTGAATGACATGTGTTCAATATGAATATTAAAATAAATAAGAAGATTATTGTTCTAGTATTTTATTCTGTTCGACCTATTAGGCCCCTTACTTTGGGTATTATAGTGACGGGCGGTCGTATTGTTTACATAACCCAGGATAGATCAGGATATTATTATTTTTTATTAGTAGTCTGCACTAGCTTCCAGACGGATTCGCAAATTGTAATGAAAATGGTATCAGCAGATGCTAGCATATTTTCCAGTAGTAGATAATGCAATTATAGTTATATCCGCTGACAATGTTAAATCTTAAACTTTACAGACGTAGTTCGGGTCTGACTTGAAAGATGGTCAGGCTTATGTTTCTTGTCTGGCTTTTGAAGGAATTGCTACTGACTCGGACTTATGTGATACACTACTTTATATAACTGTTCAGTTATACATTGTCTGTATCGTCCTCATGCTGTCGTTTTACCTCGAAGTAAGGTTATGTTTTGACTTGTGGAGACCATAGAATACTCAAACCGTCTATTGCCTGGTGAAGACCATTAAAATTCAATAGTATATGTAGGTTCCCAGCTTCCTACATAAAGATTTGAGTCGTTTTGAAGAAATTACTTTAAACAAACTTGGATTACCCTGGCATTTGGCTTATGAACACTGCCATTTAATAGAATAATCCAAAAGAAAAAAAAAAAAAACAAGTAAGAAATTATAGTCGGGCGAGGCCGACCATATAATACCCTACACCAGTTACAAAAATAAAATGTGATTTAGTTTTCATAGGGTTTCTTAGGGTTCAGTTGTATGGGAGCTAGGTGAGAAAATGGACCGATGTTAAACATTTTCAATAGACTTTGTCTCCGGTACCATAGAAGATCGTGTGCCAAATTTCATTACAAGGTTTACAAGCCCTATTCAGGGGTTCAGTTGTATCGGGGCTAGGTGAAATAATGGACCGATCTTAACCATTTTCAATAGGCTTCGTCCCTGGGACAATAGAAGATCATATGCCAATTATCTTCAAAATTGCGACCTGTAATTTGATTACAAGGTTTACATGGACGGACGGACATAGCTAAATCCACACAGAAAATGGTTCTAAGCCGATTGGTATACTTTAAGGTGGGTATAGGACCAATATTATTGTGCGTTACAAACATCAGCTCAAACCCAATATACCTTCCCCATTAAAATTTAACAAATGGATTTAGACGAATGTAAAGCATGGAGAGTTTTTTCATAATGAATAAGTCTGTGATTAGCATGATGTTCCATATTCAGACTTCATATACAAGCTTACAAGCTCAACTATATAAAATTTAACGAACGGATTTAGACGAATGTAAAGCATGGAGAGATCTCTCTATCTCTCTTTTACTGCTAGACTTTCGTCGAATTATGATCCAACAGTCTTTGATGCGATCATATATTGTAGTCCTAACGAGAATTGAGTGAAAACTATGAAACCACGTAGAAAAATCTCAGTTTCGGAACACCTGGCGATACTTCTTCTCATAGGTCAGTATATGAGGTTTATTCAGGTTCTTTATTAATTTCATGAAAAAGAGCACTTAACAGGCCCGCTCGCAGCCTGACTGTTTATAACAGTCTGTCAGTTGAAAACGGAAACAGCTAGCGGATTCAATTTCCCACAGTTATCCTTTGTCGATGTTCGTAATCAAAATTAGCAATGTCGGTCCATCATATAAATGTCCCCCGGAATAATTGTTATACTCTCTTAAGGAGGTTGTGTGGTAATCTTGTGTTTATGTGAATATCTAACTAATGTTCGCACCTGGTATTATGTTTGATTGTCTTTCTTTTATGACATATAATTTATATGGCAATTATTATTGATTAAGAGATGTTTATATATTCTCAAACAAGTTATAAATAGATGCATATATTGTGTACTGATTAAAAACCCTTTTCCTTTATAATATTATAATTAGAAGGAACTTTTTACAGAGGTATATTTTATGGTGAAACTAAATAGAATTGATAGCATTTCCCTTAGTTTTTGCACTTTATTATAGTATTCTTTCTAGCAGTTAAAAATATTTCAACGCTCAAGGCTACAAGTAGCTTAAGTATCTAAGCACATACATACATATGTATATATTTATAAGGCCCTTAGAAAGTATTTAAAATCACTTCAAGAAACACAAATCCCTGACAGTTGTTAATGTACTGTTAATCTCTTAACATACTTCAAGAAATTTGGCAACAAGTTCTTTTGCAATACATTTAAGAGGAAAACGTAAAGCAAGTATGTATATAAATATAATAAAAAAACTAAAGCTTCTAAAGGAAATAATACATTTCCTTTTCATTCTAGTATGAACCACAACGAATCTCTACCCTCACAGCCCGGTATAAGACGTTACTTTCATGTACAACGTATAGGTTTTGCCGCGCTTGGTTTGAATATCACTTCTATGGATCGCACATTGCATAATTACTTTCATGTTTGGTTTCCCGCTTTCGTACTATTTGCTTTCTATTTCCCTGTTTTATCGTATGCTTTTGAAAATGCCCAGGATTTGAAAAAGCTTACAACTACGTTGTCACCAGTTTGGCAGTCCATTATAGCACATTTTAAAATCTTATATATTATGTGGAATAGAAAGAAGGTTGTATCGCTAATACGAAAAATATGGTTTTTGAATTTAGAGGGTGAGTTATTTAAGTTATGAAGATTTCGAAATTTCTCTATGACAACCAAGTAACAGAGAAGCGTACAGTCACATGACATAGTTTTTTAAGATGTCCATTAGTGTTTTTAAATGTATATTTTCTTTAGCCAAAAATGAAGAACATAACATAGTAGTTGCCGAAAATCGCAAAGATATTATATTTAGTACTTTTTATAATTGGGTTGCGCATATAACTGGTCTCAGTAATCTCTTGGCTCCCCTATTTGTTGCTACTTACTACGCTCTACAAGGTGAAAGTTTTTGGGAAATCCTAGAAATACCATCAAGAGGAAAGTATGTAAAGCCATTAACGATATAACTTTAAGAAACTGGAATTTCTTTTCTCCCACACAGTTATATCGTTCACAAAAAATCCATAGCTGGTTATGTATTTGTTTACATATGGAATATAATTGGAACATATTATGTCGTATTTGCTTGTATAGCGGCTGAAACCTTATTTTCTTGGTTTATGTTTAATATTGTATCACAATTTCATATACTTAGGCATCGTTTGCATCAGGCTGGTATTGAAAACGATGGCAACTGTTCTACGAAAACTATTACCGATTGTATTGCTTTCCATTGTCGTGTCATCGATTTGGCCAATGAATTTAATAATGCATTTGGTTTGGTGATTTTTGTTAAATTCCTTGTAAGTTGCATGCAAATTTGCTGTTTGGCATTTCAACTAAGTCGTGGAGATGGTGAACTATTCGATAAACTATATCATTTTTTATTTTTACTAACGGTATCGGTGCAATTGATGATGTATTGCTATGGCGGTCAGATGATACAGGATGAGGTAAAATATTATCAGTATCTTCATTAACTGTATCTTATTTATAACAAATTCTTTTAAATTTCAATAATATAGAGCAGCTCCATTGCTGATATCATTTATGAAAGTTTTCACTGGGAAAAATTGTCGTTGACCAATAGAAAAATGTTAATTTTTTCCATGATGCGTTCTCAAAAGCCCATTAATGTTTCGGGTATATTTTTTACAGCCAATTTAAATTTGTATTTGTGGGTAAGTACAATATTTTTATTATAATTTAAATTTAAAAAAAAAACTTATTTTTATTCAAGGTTTATCGTACCGCAGCTTCGTTTATTACATTACTCAAGACTATGGAAGAAGATAGGTTGGAGTAAAAATATTCAATATATTTTGAAATTACTAAAAGTTTTAATAAAGCACCTTGCACACCTTTAACCGTTTGATATAATTTTCACTCACTGCATGACTAACATAACTAAAGTAGAACTAGAACTGAATTAGCAGTGAACTAGAACTGAACTAGAACTGAACTAGAACTGAACTAGAACTGAACTAGAACTGAACTAGAACTGAACAAGAACTGAACAAGAACTGAACTAGAACTGAACTAGAACTGAACTAGAACTGAACTAGAACTGAACTAGAACTGAACTAGAACTGAACTAGAACTGAACTAGAACTGAACTAGAACTGAACTAGAACTGAACTAGAACTGAACTAGAACTGAACTAGAACTGAACCAGAACTGAACTAGAACTGAACTAGAACTGAACTAGAACTGAACTAGAACTGAACTAGAACTGAACAAGAACTGAACTAGAACTGAACTAGAATTGAACTAGAACTGAACTAGAACTGAACTAGAACTGAACTAGAACTGAACTAGAACTGAACTAGAACTGATCTAGAACTGAACTAGACTAACTAGAACTGAACTAGACTAGAACTGAACTAGACTAGAACTGAACTAGACTAGAACTGAACTAGACTAGAACTGAACTAGACTAGAACTGAACTAGACTAGAACTGAACTAGAACTGAACTAGAACTGAACTAGAACTGAACTAGGACTGAACTAGAACTGAACTAGAACTGAACTAGAACTGAACTAGAACTGAACTAGAACTGAACTAGAACTGAACTAGAACTGAACTAGAACTGAACTAGAACTGAACTAGAACTGAACTAGAACTGAACTAGAACTGAACTAGAACTGAACTAGAACTGAACTAGAACTGAACTAGAACTGAACTAGAACTGAACTAGAACTAGAACTGAACTAGAACTGAACTAGAACTGAACTAGAACTGAACTAGAACTGAACTAGAACTGAACTAGAACTAGAACTGAACTAGAACTGAAATGAAACATGACAGATTTATTAAAAAACGTTTTCACTTTATATATCTACAATTTAAAAACGTTTTGACCATAATTTCCCAATTTAGTATGAACATTAGTCTAACTAACACATTCCAGCAGTATTACAGGTACATAAACGCACATATCATTGTTGCTTCCAATAATGTCTAATGCTTTGAAACACATTTCTGATCTCTTTATAAAGTAGATAACAATAATAGGCATATAACAAGGAGAAAGTCCATCGCTACTGAAGTGTTCTTTTGTAATCTAAAGAGTAGTCACTGCAAAATATTTTAAGCCAACATAAGTAATCTACTATAGAGACAAATATCCAGTTGTTGTCGCAGTGAAGAGCAATGTTTTATTAATTAAAATTTTTCTAACTAGATTTACTTCAAGATAACCACTCATAACTACAGGAATCGCTAGGTCCACTATCACACAACTTTGCTATTTGAATAAGAAACGAGTAGAAGAAAGTCAAAACCACAATGTCGTTACTGAAGCAAATAACAAACATTGAAAACTACTAGTTGCTATTCCTCTCATTACAGACACGGCCAAGGAAGGAAACACTACACAGCATTTTATCTAAGTAATCACATCTGTGACTTGCATAAATGGTTTTGTTTTCAAGCCTTAGATGGTAATTTCCAAAGTAAAGTTATTTGACTTTGTATGCTGCATAGTAAAAGTACATATTTTTTATGAGTTCATGTATCTCCAAGTGCAAATTAAAATTCCAACTACTGTAAAGTGTAGCTACTGCCATTCATTTATCTTTGCCAGGTGAAATTGTAAACACTCAAGAGCACGAAAAAAGAGATAGAGATTTTCTTTATTTAACCACATACAAAAGACAGTCAACACCACCCACTCGCTTGCTCGCCAACAATAGTAAAAATACCCAGTCTGGAAAATGGTTAAAGAGTTTGAATTTATTTACACAAATCCTAGCTAAAGATACAAGTGTTGGTTTGCAATTTCGAGAAATATAAACAAAACATACTTATATTTACAGAATATTACTCGAGTGGATAAAAGTGTACGTTGTACAGTTGTTAGATTTATAATAAGAAACTGACAAGTGTAACAAATATTAGTACATTAGTATATTTTATTAAAAAATAACATAAATTTTATATTTATGAATTAGGATAACAAATACTCAGAGGAATTTTATATTCGAACAATATGTTCTATAGAAAATATATTTTTAACATCATCATAAAGTGAAAAACCTAAAAATCTTATTTAAGAAAATTTAGCTAAATGTCAATCAATATATTAATTTTTGGATGGCTTTTTCTAAATGTATAATCATGGAGAGATAGACAGGCAGACAGACAGACAGACAGGCAGACAGAAAAAGAGATGGTCATGACTATATAGTTTTTGAATGAAATGCACGCAAAAAAGTAATTAAGTAATCCGTACTTAAATCAATCCGGAATAATTTCAGAAGTTCAGTAAGTATGGGTTTCCTTAAACCATGTAGTTCAATTCTAGTTCAGTTCTAGTTCAGTTCTAGTTCAGTTCTAGTTCGGTTCTAGTTCAGTTCTAGTTCAGTTTTAGTTCAGTTTTAGTTCAGTTCTAGTTCAGTTCTAGTTCAGTTCTAGTTCAGTTCTAGTTCAGTTCTAGTTCAGTTCTAGTTCAGTTCTAGTTCAGTTCTAGTTCAGTTCTAGTTCAGTTCTAGTTCAGTTCTAGTTCAGTTCTAGTTCAGTTCTAGTTCAGTTCTAGTTCAGTTCTACTTCAGTTCTAGTTCAGTTCTAGTTCAGTTCTAGTTCAGTTCTAGTTCAGTTCTAGTTCAGTTCTAGTTCAGTTCTAGTTCAGTTCTAGTTCAGTTCTAGTTCAGTTCTAGTTCAGTTCTAGTTCAGTTCTAGTTCAGTTCTAGTTCAGTTCTAGTTCTAGTTCAGTTCTAGTTCAGTTCTAGTTCAGTTCTAGTTCAGTTCTAGTTCAGTTCTAGTTCAGTTCTAGTTCAGTTCTAGTTCAGTTCTAGTTCAGTTCTAGTTCAGTTCTAGTTCAGTTCTAGTTCAGTTCTAGTTCAGTTCTAGTTCAGTTCTAGTCAGTTAGTTCTAGTTCTAGTTCTAGTTCTAGTTCAGTTCTAGTTCAGTTCTAGTTCAGTTCTAGTTCAGTTCTAGTTCAGTTCTAGTTCAGTTCTAGTCAGTTCTAGTTCAGTTCTAGTTCAGTTCTAGTTCAGTTCTAGTTCAGTTCTAGTTCAGTTCTAGTTCAGTTCTAGTTCAGTTCTAGTTCAGTTCTAGTTCAGTTCTAGTTCAGTTCTAGTTCATTCTAGTTCAGTTCTAGTTCAGTTCTAGTTCAGTTCTAGTTCAGTTCTAGTTCAGTTCTAGTTCAGTTCTAGTTCAGTCTAGTTCAGTTCTAGTTCAGTTCTAGTTCAGTTCTAGTTCAGTTCTAGTTCAGTTCTAGTTCAGTTCTAGTTCAGTTCTAGTTCAGTTCTAGTTCAGTTCTAGTTCAGTTCTAGTTTCAGTTTCTAGTTCAGTTCTAGTTCAGTTCTAGTTCAGTTCTAGTTCAGTTCTAGTTCAGTTCTAGTTCAGTTCTAGTCAGTTCTAGTTCAGTTCTAGTTCAGTTCTAGTTCAGTTCTAGTTCAGTTCTAGTTCAGTTCTAGTTCAGTTCTAGTTCAGTTCTAGTTCAGTTCTAGTTCAGTTCTAGTTCAGTTCTAGTTCAGTTCTAGTTCAGTTCTAGTTCAGTTCGTTCAGTTCTAGTTCATTTCTAGTTCAGTTCTAGTTCAGTTCTAGTTCAGTTCTAGTTCAGTTCTAGTTCAGTTCTAGTTCAGTTCTAGTTCAGTTCTAGTTCAGTTCTAGTTCAGTTCTAGTTCAGTTCTAGTTCAGTTCTAGTTCAGTTCTAGTTCAGTTCTAGTTCAGTTCTCTAGTTCAGTTCTAGTTCAGTTCTAGTTCAGTTCTAGTTTTCGTTCTAGTTCAGTTCTAGTTCAGTTCTAGTTCAGTTCTAGTTCATTCTAGTTCAGTTCTAGTTCAGTTTCTAGTTCAGTTCTAGTTCAGTTCTAGTTCAGTTCTAGTTCAGTTCTAGTTAGTTCTAGTTCAGTTCTAGTTCAGTTCTAGTTCAGTTCTAGTTCAGCTTTCAGTTCTAGTCAGTTTCTATTCAGTTTCTAGTTCAGTTCTAGTTCAGTTCTAGTTCAGTTCTAGTTCAGTTTTTCGTTCAGTTCTAGTTTCAGTTCTAGTTCTTCTAGTTCAGTTCTAGTTCAGTTCTAGTTCAGTTCTACATTCATTCAGTTCTAGTTCAGTTTCGTTCAGTTCTAGTTCAGTTCTAGTTCAGTTCTAGTTCAGTTCTAGTTTCAGTTCTAGTTCAGTTCTAGTTCAGTTCTAGTTCAGTTCTAGTTCAGTTCTAGTTCAGTTCTAGTTCAGTTCTAGTTCAGTTCTAGTTCAGTTCTAGTTCAGTTTCTAGTTCAGTTCTAGTTCAGTTCTAGTTCAGTTCTAGTTCAGTTCTAGTTCAGTTCTAGTTCAGTTCTAGTTCAGTTCTAGTTCAGTTCTAGTTCAGTTCTAGTTCAGTCTAGTTCAGTTTCTAGTTCAGTTCTAGTTCAGTTCTAGTTCAGTTCTAAGTTCAGTTCTAGTTCAGTTCTAGTTCAGTTCTAGTTCAGTTCTAGTTCAGTTTCTAGTTCAGTTCTAGTTCAGTTCTAGTTCAGTTCTAGTTCAGTTCTAGTTCAGTTTCGTTCTAGTTTCAGTTTCTAGTTCAGTTCTAGTTTCAGTTCTAGTTCAGTCTAGTTCAGTTCTAGTTCAGTTCTAGTTCATTCTAGTTCAGTCTAGTTCAGTTCTAGTTCATTCTAGTTCAGTTCTAGTTCAGTTCTAGTTCAGTTCTAGTTCAGTTCTAGTTCAGTTCTAGTTCAGTTCTAGTTCATTCTAGTTCAGTTCTAGTTCAGTTCTAGTTCAGTTTCTAGTTCTAGTTCTAGTTCAGTTCTAGTTCAGTTCTAGTTCTGTTCTACTTAAGTTCTAGTTCAGGATCTCTTAAAGTAAAGGAGACAAAATGTTGTTTTTTTGGA